CTCTGGATGGCTGTACACAGCACAGCCATCCAGAGCACTGTGATTACAGTAAAGCCCACACACCGCCCGCTATGTAAAACATTACCTGCACACAATTAACGTTTTGATCCCCCCTCATGTTAATCCCTTCCTGCCCCATGCCCAGTACAGTGTCAATACTTTTTTTTTTTTTATAGCACTGATCACTGTATTGGTGTTACTGGGGATATCAGTGACACCAAGTCAGTTCCCCCCGGTGTCAGAATGCCCGCCGCAGACCCGCTATAAAAAAAAAATCCAGTATATATACTGCTGTTTTTAAACGCTATAACTTTCACGTAAACCAATTAATTTATACGTATTGGGATTTGTTTTTAGCAAACACATGTAACAGAATACATTTGGCCGCAAATTTATGCCAAAATTTGATTTTTCATTTTTTTTTTTACTGGACATGTAAAAAGTCAAAAATATTAGTTTTTTTTTCTCAAAATTGACTTTTTTTTTTTTTTGTAGCACACAAAATAAAAAATGCACAGGTGATCAAATACCACTCAAAGAAAGCTCAATTTGTGGGGGAAAAAAAGGATGTAAATTTCATTTGGGTGCAGTGTTGCATGACCGTGCAATTGTCAGTTAAAGTAACGCAGCGCTGTAACGCAAAAAATGGCCTGGTCAGGAAGGGGGGTAAATCCTCAGGAGGGCAAGTGGTTAATACAAGAAAAAGATGAATTCTTTCTAATATTTATTTTGGGCCATGTTACATATATACACACTAAGGCCAAATAGGTGGTGTTCCCTCTTAAGTAGTTACTTGTAAAGATTGTGTGGAAATCAGATCTCTCTTTCGGCATCCTCTTTTTTTTTTTTTTTTTTTTTTTTTTTTAATAAAGACTAATCCTATAACTGTAATCTCTGTGTGTCTTCGTGAGTATCACGTTTCATTCATGCAGTCATATATCTCTGTAGGTAAATGTGTTTCCAATAAGCATTACTCTAATTGGAGTCTTAGAATGATTACATGTGTCATTTTCCTTTGAAGCCCAACTTCCTCTTCGGAAGGGTTTAGGTTAAATGCAGATGATGATGTCATTTTAAGCTGTAACAATGCAGAAATGGGACGTTTCATTAAAAAAAAAAAGACCCAGAATAATAACATCCACATACATGTTTTTGTACTACACAGAATTTATATTATTTTTTTAGACCAGGATTGCATTTGGGAATGATTATAATGGCTACAGATGATGATTTAGGAATAATGATCTTCTGGAATAAATTGTTATTATAACATGAGTATGTCCAGCTTGGTTAAGATTTGTGAGAATTGTGGAGCTCCAAATGCCATAGGTTTTCCAGTTGACAAACTTATTTAAATATTTTATATGGGAAAACAAAAAAACAGAAAACCTGAACTTTGGAAAAACGACTAATTAAAATCATCCCTAGGTATAAAGTATAATAATAATAATTTAAAAAAAAAATCACTACAGGGCAACAATTACACTTGGTCAAATATTTGGAGACCTGTGCGATGTAAGTGCAAATTGCATAACGTCAAAAATGGAGCCAAAAGTAATGTGGCAGGATTAGAAGCAATAAGTCATTGTTACAGGGGGTAACCAGAAAAGCAAAACTGCTGTGTTAATGCTAGTGACAAACTGCATCATATAGGTTATTTCTTAATTTGTCCATTTCCCTTTCTCTTTATTCTGTCTCCACACATTCCTGTACATTGTACACCCTGTCTACGTCCTTCAGAAATGTGGATAAAAGTGTCTTCATTGTTAAGACATTTAAATTTCCATCTTCATAATTTAAAAATGTGAACAATAAGTCAGTTAGGAAGAGGAACAAAAAAGCAGTTAGGAAGAGAGGATAAAAAGATTACTGTCAGGGCTGTGTGGGCGCAGATGTTCAGTGAGCAGGATCAGCACCACTGAGCAGAGTTTCCTGCTTGGTCACTGCACCTGTCACACTGGCTGATGCAGTGGCTGACAACACTCCTCTCAGTGACAGTAGATCTTCACTTTTAACAGACTCTGTGTCACTGAAGAGGCTCAGCGGCTGGATGGGATGTCAGTAATGATGAGCCTGTGGTTTTACTAGGCTCAGAGATACTGAACTGCATTGGTGACACGTGTCTGGTTTGGACACTTCAGGCTCATTACATGGGTGGCACAGCCCTGATTGCTGTTAATGACCACATTTGTGGTAGATCAAGAGCATTTTCTTAAAGAGGAGATAATGTTTGCCAGCCTAATTTTAACTAGCATGTTTTGGATTGTGAAGGATTGCTCTGATCACTACTATTATAGCTCATGGACTGTATATTATTAAAATCCCTACCTGCTTGAGGTGATTGTAGCCATATTAGTGCATCTGCGACAGAAACAATTGAGTACTGTCCGTGATACATTTTTTATTTGCACTAACATACAATTTTGAGGACAAGCTTTCGGGGAGTGTCCCCTTCTTCAGGTCCAAGCAGTACTATCATTATCCAACAGTTTTCTGACTATCACCTCAAGCATGACTCCCTCTGTGAGTGTTGACTACCCCCCCCCCCCCCCCAGTCTTTGCTTTTGCTGTGTCTTATCTCTTATTTTTTTTTTTTTTTCTTTTTCATCCCCCACATTTCTTCTAACATTCTGCTAAAACTTTGTGATTAGTACTGCTTGGACCTTGAAGAAGGGGACATTCCCCAAAAGCTTGTCCTCAAAATTTTGTTAGTGCAAATAAAAAAAGTATCACGGACAGTACTCAATTGTTAAAATCCCTACCCAAACTTTTCCTCCAGAACGGTTCTTGGTGGCTGTATCATCTGCTGACATCTGCAGCCACGCGCCGTTCTCTTCCAGTATTTTGTGCAGCTGGCTACCCAGTACATCGTGATCTCGCTCATAGTAACCACTGTGCATTCAATACTTGGACCACAGAGAGAATTCCAAGTTCAGAAATGGTGCCTAACTCTGCCTGTAATAACGTCATTTCCCGTTTGGAAATAACGTGATGACAGAAGTGGAGAATGCCCTTTGTCTCCTGGGATTGACGAAACAGATACCCCAGGTGTCAACGGGACATCCTGGATGACGTTAATCACTGCAACTGACTGGCCAGAAGTGGTGGGGATTTCAAACTAAAAAAAGGTACTTTAGAAAAAAAAAAAAAAAAAGAATGAGCATATCCAAACATTTTAAAATAACGGTACTAGCAATTAAATGGGACATTGCTGTTAATGAGGGTGAAGCTCCACTTTAACATTTATATTAACCACTTCAAGTCCGGAGACTCTCCCCCCTTCCTGTCCAGGCCTATCACACTTTGAATGACAATTGCGCAGTCATGCAACACTGTATACACATGAATTTTTTAGCATTTTTTTGAGACAGATAAAGCTTTATTTTGGTGGCATTTATTCACCACTGGGATTTTTATTTTTTTGCTATATAAGCGAAAAAGTCCAAACATTTTGAAAAAAAGTGTTATAAAATTTTGCAAGTAAATCTTTCTTCATAAATCTTGGCCAAAATTTATTCAGCTATCCTTTTAGTGAAAAAAAAAGAACCCAGATTTGTTTATAACCAAAAATATTATTATTTTTTCTTCAATATACTGTCACCCTAGCAGTACAGTGTCACCATAGTGACACTGTACTACTTGTGGGGAGTGATGAAGTTTTTTTTTTTTTTTTTTTTTTTTACACTGATTGCTTTTACACCCAGAAACACTGTAAAAGAAATAATTTCTCCTTCTCTCTGGCTGCATTCTTGCAGCCATTGAGAAATACTGTGAGAGCTGTGATTGGTCACAGATTGACACATGGTACACGGCTGTTGTGAATAGCCTTGTACCATCTGATCATTCACAGATTTCACAAGTAGTAAGCAATGATGTCAGGAAGTGACATCTTGTTTACTACTGTTCCTGTGATCACTGGTTGGCCAATCAGTGATCACATGATCGGGACCTAACACAGAGGTCCCATACAGCGATCGGTGTTCCCAGGGAGCGAGCACAGTCGTGAATGCGGGGGCCGTTTATAAACGGCTACCCGTTTCGGCACTGCTCCCGTCTGGTCGTTTATGTACATGTGCCGGTAGGAAGTGGTTAAACAAAACCACTGTACAAACCATAATTTTTAGATAATATAAATAGTAAAATAATTTCACAAACTGGTTTCTTCTGAAGGTAATATTCACTTTTATTATATTGGTTTGGTTACCTTACACCATTGTTTCTCAACCTTTTTTCAGTCAAGGCACTCTTTAAAGTTATACACAATCTTGAGGCACCTTTTAAATTTATGGACAGTCTCAAGGCACCCCATGCTAAAATGTTAAAAAAAAAAACAAAACTATTCTAATAGTTTTACCTAGTGCAGCAACACCCACACATGTAGGACACCTAATGTTAGAGGGGACTTATTCTTCCAATGCAAATTCACTTTTGCACATTGGTACTGAATAGTATTCCACTGTTTCTCTTCTCCTTAAGTTTCTCTCTATCACTCAGCTAGTTTGACCCCATTACTGACAGAGAGGGGCAGGGGAGGGTTAAACAAGGATGCCATGCAGGCGACAGACATCCTCTATATCAGCTGATGGCGTCATTGATTGTTAGGATGATGGCGGCTTTGTGTAACTAAAAGGCAGGCTTGATCCATTCGCTGGCTTGTATACAGTTTTTGGGCAATGTTTAGGCATTTTGCCAAGGCACCCCTGAAAAAATGTCAAGGCACCGCAGTTGAAAAACCTGCCTTAAACGACCATTACTGATTCACATTAGCATACATATCTTTTAACCACCTCCCGCCCGCCATATAGTAATATGATGGGCGCAAGGTGGTTCTCTCCTTCTGGGAGGACGTCATATGACGTCCTCCCGATCTCACTGTGCATGCGCGGCTCAGGAAGCATGCAGCGATCGGCGGTGCGCTGTGTCCCTCGGACACAGCAGATCACCGATCACGGAAAGAGCCGAAGATGTTGGCTCGGTCGTGTGATCACCTGTGTCCAATCACAGCTGATCACATGTAAACAGGGAAATGTTGGCTATCGGCATTTCTCTCCTCTCCAGCTGTCACGCTGACAGCTTGAGAGGAGAGCCGGTAATCAGCTTTCCGCAGAGGGGAAATGTACACTGATCATCAGGGCACTGATGACCATTGTGCCCTGATGATCAGTGTAGCCCCAGCAGTGCCACCTGTCAGTGTCCATCAGTGCCTTATGTCAGTGCTCATCAGTGCCTCGTGCCACTGCCACATATCAGTGCCTACCAGTGCACATCAATGCCACATATCAGTGCCCATCTGAGCTGCCTTTCAGTGTCACCCATCAGTGCCGCCTATCAGTGCCACCTAACAGTGCCAGCCAGTGCCGCCTATCAGTGCCAGTCAGTGCCGCCTATTAGTGCCAGTCAGTGCTGCCTATCAGTGCCATATATCAGTGCCATGTATCAGTGCTGCCTTTCAGTGCCCATCAGTGATGCTGTCAATGCCCATCAGTGCCCATCAGTGCAGCCTACCAGTGCCCATCAGTGCAGCCTCATTAGTGCACATCAGTGAAGGAAAAAAATCACTTCTTTACAAAATTTTATTAAAAAAAACTAAGAAAAAAACTTTTTTCAAAATTTTCAGTGGTTTTTGGTTTAAGAAAAATTAAAAAAACCCAGAGGTGATTAAATACCACCAAAATCTCTCTCTGTCACAAAAAAATGATAAAAATTTCATATGGGTACAGTGTTGTTTGACCGCGCAATTGTCATTCAAGGTGCGACAGCGCTGAAAGTTGGAAATTGGCCTGGGCAGGAAGATGGTATAAGTGCCCTGTAGGCTAGCGGTTAAAGAATCAAATAATTTTTTGATATTATTGATCAGTAAAAACGTCTCTTAGCCTAGGTTCACATCTCTGCAGGGAGTTGGAATGCGTGTAGCCACCCACATGCAGCTGCACATAAATGCACAGAAAATGCTTAGGGGTGCCATTAAATGGCACCCCAATGTCCAGAAAATGTGGTGCGGTTTCCTGTACACGAATGCGCTTGGTGCCAAAAACACCATGCTATTTTTTTCGTGCAGCCGCATTTGAAAAAAGATGCAGGAACCTTTTCCCTGTAGGAAATGGCAGCTCACTCAAATGAAAGGGCTGTTGTGTCTGCGCAAATGTGACTCTCAGAGCCACATAGATGTGAACTTAGCCTTAAGGTAAAATATCACAACCTTATAACATTTCTGTATAAATGCAGTATGTGATCATTTTGTGTAATATTCTCCTACATAATATACCTAAATATCATGTAAAAGACAATTCTATGCACAAAATAAATTGACACCTCCAGTGTAACACATTTGCTCTTACATTGTTGAAACTTTGCATCAGTTCCTCGCATGGGTACCCAGTTTTCCATTTTATTGTATCTCAAACTTTGATATGGTATTCAGTAAAAAAATATTTCAAGTTAACCTGGAGCAGCGGGGTTGTGGGTAAAAAATTCAAGACAATCCAAAAGCCTATTGAATAAACAGAGAAAATTCCTCTTTAAAACAATATTATTTTTGTGAAGATATATTATGCCAATATTAGACTTTTGTGTGCGATAGTGCATAACTATGGTCATGCAGGCACTAGGCCTTTCTGGTTTGGATCATAGACCGTTTTCTATATAAATATTACAGTCTGGGGAGTCATTGTTGCAGGTTTAAACATTAGGCTATTTTCCAAGTGATTAAACAAAAAAACACACATTAATCACTTGCCTACCTGGCACTTATACCCCCTTACTGCCCAGGCTAATTTCAGCTTTCAGAGCTGTCGTACTTTGAGTGACAATTGCGCGGTCATGCAACACTGCACCCATATGAAATTTTTATCATTATTTTCACACAAATAGAGCTTTCTTTTGGTGGTATTTACTCACTGATGGGTGTTTTATTTTTTGCACTTTAAACAAAAAAACACATTTTGAAAAAAAAATTTTCTTTGATTCTATTATAAAATTTTGCAAACACGTAATTGTTCTCCTTCACTGATGTGCGATGATGAGGCAGCACTGATAGGTGGCACTGATGAGCTGGCATTGATATGCAACATTGATGGGCACTGATAGGTGGCACTGATATGCAACAATGATGGGCATTGATGGCTGGCACTGACTGGCAGCACTGCTGGGTAATGATGGGTGGCACAGGTGGGTGGCACTGCTGGGCACAGATGGGCGGCACTGGTGGGTGGCACTGATCATCAGTGCGATCCCTCCTCTGACAATTGCCGGAAATCGGCAGTACTTTGGCAAACTCTAATCTGGCCTTCCTGTTTTTGAGGCTCACCAATGGTTTCCATCTTGTGGTGAACCCTCTGTATTCACTCTGGTGAAGTCTTCTCTTGATTGTTGACTTTGACACACATACACCTACCTCCTGGAGAGTGTTCTTGATCTGGCCAACTGTTGTGAAGGGTGTTTTCTTCACCAGGGAAAGAATTCTTCGGTCATCCACCACAGTTGTTTCCGTGGTCTTCCGGGTCTTTTGGTGTTGCTGAGCTCACCGGTGCGTTCCTTCTTTTTAAGAATGTTCCAAACAGTTGTTTTGGCCACGCCTAATGTTTTTGCTATCTCTCTGATGGGTTTGTTTTGTTTTTTCAGCCTAATGATGGCTTGCTTCACTGATAGTGACAGCTCTTTGGATCTCATCTTGAGAGTTGACAGCAACAGATTCCAAATGCAAATAGCACACTTGAAATGAACTCTGGACCTTTTATCTGCTCATTGTAATTGGATAATGAGGGAATAACACACACCTGGCCATGAAACAGCTGAGAAGCCAATTGTCCCATTACTTTTGGTCCCTTAACAAGTGGGAGGCACATATGCAAACTGTTGTAATTCCTACACCGTTCACCTGATTTGGATGTAAATACCCTCAAATTAAAGCTGACAGTCTGCAGTTAAAGCACATCTTGTTTGTTTCATTTCAAATCTATTGTGGTGGTGTATAGAGCCAAAAATGTTAGAATTGTGTCGATGTCCCAATATTTATGGACCTGACTGTATACTGGTAGTTGGACACAGGCACAATTTTCATTCTTTTGGCTCTGTATGCCACCAGAATAAATTAAAACAAAACAATCCAAATGAATTTGAAGTTCAGACTTTCAGCTTTAATTCAGGGGATTGAACATAAATATCAAGTACAAATATTAGGAATTGCAACCATTTTTATACACAGTCCCTCCATTTTTTATTGGCTCAAATGTAATTGGAAAAATGAATATAATCATAAATAAAATGTTCATTTTTAATATTTTGTTGAGAATCCTTTACTGGCAATGACTGCTTGAAGTCTGGAACCCATGGACATTATCAAAGACTGGGTTTCCTCCTTTCTGATGCTTTGCCAGGCTCTAACTGCAGCTGTCTTCAGTTGTTTGTTTGTGGGTCTTTCTGCCTTTAGTTTTGCCTTCAGCAAGTGAAATGCATGCTCAGATGGGTTGGGATCAGGAGATTGACTTGGCCATTGCAGAATATTCCACTTATTTTCCTTCAAAAGCTCCTGGGTTGCTTTTGCAGTGTGTTATGGATCATCATTCATCTGTACTGTGAAGCGCTGTCCAATCAACTTTGCTGCATTTGGCTGAATCTGGGCTGACAGTATATCTCTAAACACTGCAGAATTCATGCAGCTGCTTCTGTCTTCTGTCACATCATCAATAAACATCATGACCCAGTGCCACTGGAAGCCATGCATGCCCATGCCATCACAGTGCCTCTATCATGTTTTACATATGATGTTGTGTGCTTTGGATCATGAGCTGTTCCAAGCCTTCTCCACACTTTTTCTTCCCGTCATTCTGGAACAGATTAATCTTATTTTCATCCATCCAAAGAATGCTTTTCCAGAACTGGCCTGGCTTTTTTAGTTGTTTTTTTGGCAAAGTCTAATCTGGCTTTTCTATTCTTGAGGCTTATGAATAGTTTGCACCTTGTGTGGTGAACCCTCTGTATTTGCACTTTTGAACTCTTCTCTTGATCGTAGACTTTGACAATGATACGCCCACCTCCTGGAGAGTGTCCTTCACTTGTTTGGATGTTGTGAAAGGATTTTTCTTTACCATAGAGAGGATCCTGCGATTATCCACCACTGTTGTCTTCAGTGGATGTCCATGCCTTTTCATGTTGCTGAGCTCACCAGTGTGTTCTTCTTTCCTTAGAATGTGCAAAACTGTTGATTTGGACACTCCTAATGTTGCTACAATCTCTCTGATGGATTTTTTCCTTTTTGAAGCCTTACAATGGCATGTTTCACTAGCAAGGACAGCTCCTTTGAACACATGATGTAGGTTCACAGCAATGGATTCCAAATGCAAATACCACATTTAGAATCAACTCCAGACCTTTTACTTGCTTAATTGATGAAGAAATAATGGAGTAGCCCGCACCTGGCCATGAAACAGCTTTTGATTCAATTACTTTTGGTCCCTTGAAAATGGGGGGATGGATAATCTTAAGAGCTGTAATTCCTAAACCCTTTCTCCAATTTGGATGTACATATCCTAAACTTAAACCTGAGAGTGTGCACTTTCAGCCCATATCTGTTATATAACTATAGCTTGACTATGTTTTGGTAAATGGCTGAAAAATCTAAAATTTTGCCTGTGTCCAAATATATATATGGACCTAACTGTATATCAGAGTAGCAGAATTTTTTTTGTCCTTTTTTCCATGTTTGTAGCTTGACATGCAGCTAAACCCTCCTATTCTACAATAAGCCAGACTGGATGTAATCTTGAAGCTTTATTAACAAAACCGGGTGAGGTGAAACTATTAAGAAAAACAGGTAAGTACATATAGTCAATATATGAAATACACAAACACAAGAAATTGATTATGCTGCAGATGGCAAAAAGTTTATGCTCACCAGTGATGCTTCCTGAATCGGATTTAAGTTCAGTCCATTTCATGTGCTGCAGAGAATTATGGCTGGTTTATTTTCCTCAGTTCTTAAAATGGAGTCTGAGCTCCCAGGATGCAACTGCTTCCCTTTTCTAGAACAAATGAGTTTTTTTTTTACCAAGTCAACAGTCTCTTCTGTAAAAAAAAAAAAAAAAAAAGTACATTTATTCTGGGTTTCATCTAGTGGCCAAATTTAATATTGCATAATTACTTTCCCCGCTGAAGGCAGAACAAGTATAATGGTAATCCCAGAGTGTTATTATAGCTATGTTGGCTATAATCTTTTACTCACCAGCAAATGCTGTTCAGGTAAAGATTGTGGTGTGACGTCATATGTAGCTTAAACAAACAAAGAGGTTTATTTACTAAAGCTGGAGAGTGCAAAATCAGGCTCACTTCTGCATGGAAACCAATCAGCTTCTAACCTTAGCTTGTTCAATTAAGCTTTAGCAATAGAACCTGGAAGCTGATTGGTT